TTGCTGCCTGGAGTTTCCATGCATTCCGCAAACACCGACACACACACACCCGTTCCATAAGTAGTCCTGGTTCTCGTGTCTTCCAGCCCCATCTTTCCTCCTCTTTGAATGCGTTTGCACGTCTCGCGATCTGCTTTCGGCCCTGATGACTTCTCATCTTTTTTGGCCCTTTGGGGGGGTTGGAAAAGGTTCGGGAGAAGAAATCTTCGGGAGGTTTGGTATTTTTTTTTTGTGGCGTATGTGAGTGTTTATGTGTATGTGTAGCTTTGGTTTCCATCATGATGGCGACTGTAGCGTTAGAGAGGAGCCGATGCCGCGGTGCTGCTGAGTTTGCTGCCTGAGAAAGTTTCTCTCTCTCTCTCTCTCCCTTCTCTTTGTACCGAGGCCTCTTTTGTGGCTCCGGAGGCGAAGGAGACCCGCCAACAACGTCGCTTTCTTTCCCCAGCACTAACGCCTCCCGAGGAGGGGAGAGGAGAGGAGTGGAGGGGGGGGGAGAAGCACCAGGAAAAACAGGGGCCCTTGTTTCCCGGTGTGTGGGGATTCTCCAGGCGCCCCTGGCTCCTTTTGTGTTCAAAGCCAAGTGAGAGAAACTTGCCACGGCTCTTCCTCCACCCCGCCCGCCCGGCCGTTCCCCGCCTTCTCCCGGCAGGATCAGGCGGCTGCGACGGGACTTTTCGTAGCTGAGGGAAACAACTCGACCTCACACAATACAGTTACACGTCTTCCCTCTTAACAGTCTCCCTTCTTCTCCTCTGTAATCCCCGCCCCCGCTTTGATGTTTCTGAGGCCGTCGAAGTCAGCTTTCCGATTTCTTATTTCTGCCTTTTGAGAGAGATTTTGGAAATTGCTGAAACCAGAGGATCCCATGGTTGTGTTGTTGTTTTAACTGCTGGGTCGGGGAAGTGGACGCCTTTTTTCCCTTTACCTCCCCCTCCCCTTGCCTGCCTCTTTTTTTTCCAGGAACCTTTGTGGGAATTTTGGGCGGCGGGTTGAGGGGAAGAACTGTGACAAACCCGGGACAGCAGTTTCTGGCCTTTGTTAATAGTTGGTGAAGCTGTGTGTGGGCTGGCTTAGTTCTTCATACATGATGAATATGAATGGCAGCTTTAATTTGAGGAGCAGCTTCATGCTTCAGGAAACAACTGACCTTTATTTTAGCTAAACATATGTGGAGGTCCAAATTAATCAAGATTTTTTTTTTTTGCTATGTATTTCCAGTAACACTTGCTGCTTACCTAATGATTGGAAGGTAGATCTCATCCCTGGCAAAAAGAGTTTGTTGGTGAAAAGGCGTAGATGTTTCAAAAGAGTCTGTGATGAATCACGGCTGAAGGCTAATAGAAAGCTGAAGAGAGTTGTTCTTAATTAAAGTCTAAACTTGCATTCAGAGTTTACACTTCAGCTGCAGCCACATAAAAAGGGGGGAAAACGTGACTGAAACAATGTTTGCAAAAGCTGTGCCCTGTCTAACCCACTCATTCTTCCAATTTGGTGTCTCTTTTGTTTGCATCAGTATTTTAAGATTTGGAACTGGGTGTCACTTGAAAGTTTCTCCTTCCAAACATTTGCTACCTGTTGTTGGATAGTAATCTCGTACATAAAAGTAGATCATGCTTTTTCAGGCAGTGGCTACCTTAAAGCTGTTGTATGATTGTTTAAGGTGGTATTACAGCTGAAAGCAGATTGGAAATACCTGCTAAGAACTGAGAGGGCATTTAGCATAACCATGGTGCTGTCTGTTTTAAAGGCATTTGGAAATGCTCAAGTCCTTCTGTTCCCAAGGTAAAACTCCTTGGATCTTCAAAGTATGACCCACAGAAGCTTAAAAAACCTTGTGGTGCTACTGAGCCACTTTGCCAGATAAGATCACTTCAGTTCAAGACCAGATTAGGTTACAAGAGTAACGATTTGTCCTTGCTTTAATTTTGACCCTTTATCTCGTGTGCATCCAGATGTAATCAAATACAGTTTTCTTCTCCAGTGTCCCTTTCATTGCCTGTGTTCTGTTCCTGTTTGTATCCTTGAAGGTCTGGTGCTTCCAAGCACATCTGAAGAGAACAGAGAGAGTCAGAAACAATATAGGTCAGCCTTCTCAAATCTAATACCTTCCGGGTGTGTGTGACTACAGCTCCCACTATCCCCAGCCAGGAGAAGGCTAATAATATAGATTATGGCAGTGATGTTGGGAGAGGAGGAGTCTCTAAGGGTGCAGTTGCCACATTTTAAAAGTTCCAAGAGAGAAAAGTAGAATATATAGGAACTAATTCTTGGGAATTTACCCATTCCTCCTCCCCTCTGTTAATACACAACTGATGCCATGCACAAATTATGCACTTCCTGCTTCAAATGTCATCTTAGCCTCTCAAGCAGAGTGGGAGAACATTCTCCCACCTGCTTGTACCGGATGTTACCTTATATTGCCTTGTGAATAGACTTGGATGCAATCCCATAAGCATCATTTATCCTGTCTTGCTATCCTTTCCTTCACCATTCCCTCTCCTTGTACTCCAGTAAAACTGATGGGGTGGATTTTGAAGACAAATGCACACTCAGGCCTCTCCACCTCTCTGCTTAAGAACAATGGCGGCAGCAGAAGAGGGTGGACAAGAGTTCTTTTCCTCCACCAGGGTTGGTGAAACTAACAAAGGAGCTCCTCCTCACTGCTATGTTTTTACATAGGGTGGCGAGATTAAATTTGAAAAAAGCTTTTCTTAATATGTGCAGCTCAAAGAAAGAAAGAGAAAGGATGGAGGCAGAATACATGTTGCTCCATGGACATCGGTCAGTTTTAAATGTCCATGTGTTATTTTCGGAAAACTATGCATATCTTTTCTGAATCTGTTATCAGAGAAATAGAAGCTAAAAAGTGCTTTTCTGTGTGTGAAGCCTGTTTGTCAAAATGAAGGCATAGCCTTTAAGTGGTGATAATTGTTTCCAAACAAAATTCACATTGCATTCCAGCTTAATGTATGTAAACAGAAGGCAAGATCAGCCTAGAGAGAAGATAAACTCGAATTAAGCTGTGCTGGCAGTGCCGTAGCCCCTACTGTCAAGTGTAAGTGCTGTCTTTTGGTGCGTAATCCTTCAAGGCTAATGGAAGCATCATCTAGGCTTTATAAATAATGTAAGCTGTGTATAATGTGGACTCCCTAGTGACTGCAGAGAGCATTATTACTTGCCTTTCCAACCTGCTGTACATCTCAAATTGACTTACAGCAGTGAAATGCAAAATGATACATCAGGATGACATGAGGGGGTCAGCCTATGAGCTTGTTAGTTCAGTCATCGTAATTAAATATATTACAAAAGTAAATATGAGAGCTGCTTTACCATCTTTCTGCGTATGTGACAAAGAGCTGAACAATGATTCATTAGCAAAGGCATTGTCTTTTTAAATAAATTAGTTCTTAAAATGTATGTTGGTCAAAACATAAAACGGTAAATATTAGATTGCTAGGAATATACTGTACACCAGAAACTGCTATATCCTGTCATCTTCCATTGGAGCACCAAATTCTCATTGTACATGAGCTATCTGAATGGTACACAACTGTGAAACACCTACAGTTCTTGAAAGACTTTACAAGTTCTACAAAATCTAAAATTACATTTATTTCTTTATTTCTTTATTATTTTATTTCTACCCCGCCCCTCTAGACAGAATAAAGTTGTATATTAAAATTGTATATTAGAATGTCTCCTAAAATATGATCAAACCTCAGGGAAGGAGCAATCAAAGTATTAGTTTATTCTCCAAAAGTTAGTTGGATAGCTCATTGAGTTGGATATCTAGCTAGGGAGCAAGAGGTTGGGAGTTTGATTCCCAACTGTTTCTCTTGGGAAAAGAGCCAGCATCTGTAGCCTTGGGCAAGCTGCATGGTCCCAGAAGGCCTTCAAAAGGGAATGGTAAACCATCTCTGAGTAATCTGTACCCAGACAACCCTGAAAAGGGTCCCTGTAAGTCAGAATCAGCTTGACAGCGCATAATAAATTATTCCCCACAAGCTTATGTGATCACGTTTTAATTGGTGCCTAAAATACAAAAATGGGAGGCACAACTTGATTACAGACAATGCTGTCACATAGCACTAGGAACTGGAACACTAAGGAACCTGTTTTCAAATAAGGTTTGCTCTGGTTTCTTAGTTTCATTTACTGAATATCCATATCATTCACCAAATGACAATTGGGTCTTGAAGTCAGCCAATGACACAGTAGTCAAACCCAAAACCTAATCAACATCATCAAAAAAAAAGAAAAGAAAAAGAAAGAAAGAAAGAAAGAAATCAGTCTTGCTGGAAATACTGTCCATATTGCGGCCCTATACTGTATTGAAATTCTTGCTTTACACTGATGTTTTATATGGGGGTGACCCTTTGCAGGTCATTATCAACCCAGGTCATCATATAGCTCAAGTGCTGCTTTAGGCAAGTTAAGTGCCATCAAGTTGGAACCAATTTACAGTAACCCTAAGAGGGCTTTCATGGTAAATTATATATTTAAGGAATGGTTTTACCAGTTTATAATCCCAGTGAGTTTTCATGATCAAAGGGGGATTTGAACCCTAGTCTCCAGAGTCCTTGTCTGTCACTCTGTATGTTACACCACACTGGATACCTGCTAGGAGCAAGGGTGGGAGCAAATGTAGCAAATCTCCAAATGAAAGTACAGTAGCAATAATGTGGAGTTAATTCAGATTGCAAATGCAACAGATTTGGAAATCCTGGAATTACAGAAGCCACAGGCCCTACTCTGAGTTTTGCATAACAACAAGTAAAATTGAATTGTATATGTTGTGCTTTTCTGTATGTGAAATATTGTAGTTCTTGGTGTTGATAGATGCATGGTTACAGCACACAATATTTGGGTTTCTGCTGAATGAGTAAGATTGAAGTTAGAACAAAAATGGTGATAAGTAGAAATTAAATTGTTGATAGAATAGAAACATTGAAGGTTTGATTAGTAGAAGGTTACCAGAATGTTCAGGCACATGTATTTACTTTAATTGGGAAAATATGATTACTAACTTACATTAATTCAGAAAATTAACAGGCTGAAAGGAGTGGTACCGTGTTTCCCCGAAAATAAGACAGGGTCTTATATTAATTTTTGCTTCAAAAATGCATTAGGGCTTATTTTCAGGGGATATTTTATTTTTTTGATGCACAACAATCTACATTTATTCAAATACAGTCATGTCATCTACTGGTGGCTGCACAATGCTGCACAATGGTGTAGGGCATGGTTTCACAACTGGGGCTTATTTTGGGGGTAGGGCTTATATTATGAGCATCCTGAAAAATCATACTAGGGCTTATTTTCAAGGAAACAGGGTAAGTCCCCCCTGCAAAAAGTTTTATATGTTATGCACATGTGTGTTGTGCTTTCAGATCAAGCAGTTGTGAGATCAGAAGGAATGAATGATCAGCAGTAGTTATTCTTTCCAAAAGGCACCTTTGCATCTGTGGAATCCAAATGGTAATGTGCAACAAACAGTGGCTGAACTCCTGTTCGTGCCACCATAATGTAAAGTTATATCAGTGTAAATGTGCCAGACATTACTCCTGGCAGCAAGGAACTGCACTATGCAGCTGTGCAGTTGGTCATGCATCTCTGGTATGATCGGTTGTACAATGAAAGCATAAGTAGAAGCGCTTTGGGGACTGCATTTTTGCATCAGCAGCAGCACAGCTACTGCAGGTGAAACCAAGTAGCGCACACATAGTTGTGGTTTGACTTATAAGTGGTTTTAGAATAAAGCATTTTGGGACTGTAGAATTGAAAAATGAAGATTTGGATGAATACTAGTAACATCCAAAATTTTGTCAAACTAAAATACAGTGTTTTTCCATTCCTGTCCAAAAGAAGAAGATTTAATTGGGGAAAAAAGGAGGCAGTTTTTAGGCATGGTTTGGCTCAAAGTAGGCTTTCAGTCAGTTCAGGAAAGAACTGAAGTAGAAATTGCAAATCCTGACTATTTTTATTCTTATGTTTATGTAGACAGATGACAGATCATGCCAAATACTACATAATTTATGATTATGCATACATATTTATTTAGCTGTTTGTGCTTGGTCTGAAATCATGGATAAAGCTGGACTTGGGGTCTTAATTGAAGACTTCTCAGTCTCCTTGGTGACTTGCCTAAGGCTACTTAGCACTTCTCAGTTTGTTTGCTATCTCTGAAAGTGTTCTTGGCAAATGAGGTTGTGTAGAGATACATCTCAAAACATCTTGGCACCATTCTCTTTCCTGTGAACCAGGCCTCCTTTTGCTTTTTACAAGTTATAGGAATGGCCCCAATTCTAATCTTAATTTGCTCCTTTGCACCCTCAAACTTGCTTCAGGTGGGTTGTCTGCCATTTTGGTACCTTAGATTTAGGAAAATAACCTTAATCAGTTGAAAAATGGCTCCATGGGAAGACTTCTTGATCCACCACATCCTGTCCCATCAATCTAATCGTATTGAGGAGCCCTCTGATAAAACTGAAGTCAAAGGAGAGTGACATAGAGTTTTTTAAACTGTTGTACAGTATTAAAAAGTTTGCAGAAAACATTTTGCTGCCTTGCTCTAATCCATAAGGCAAGACATATAGCATCTTAATTGTTACATAACATGTCTGACTTTTTTTCCAGTTACCAAAAGCGGTTGAACTGAAAAGTGGTAAGGGAAAAAATTCGATAAAGGGCACTCAGCATGGCTTACATGTTACATTCAGTTTCAAAGC